GTCATTTGCCTCTCTGGGCTGGGAAGTTCAGTGGGGCTTTCATATGGCAGAATCAGCCACATGCCCCATGCAGCAGGCCAGTGGGCCCGCTCCGGCTGCCCCTTGAGTGCAGCAACACACTTTCCAGGCACCAGGTTCTTTTTACAGTCCTGGTGAAAAAGCCACACAACCTTCTTCCTGTCCTTGTAGACTACAGAGCTCCCACTCTTTCTGGGTCAAGAGCTAGAGTGACTCCATCCCCTCTGAGCCATTTGGAATTCAGCTCAGGCACCTCATCTTTGCAGGAACCAGGTGTCCTGAGCACAGGGGACATACCTTAGAGGGAGGATCTCTGCTCTGGATTGTGAACCTGCCTATATACCCTGGCTGTGCAGCTTCAGGGCAGAGATGAAGTGACCAGGCTTAGTTTGTGGGCCACCCGAGTGTGGGGAGATCTCCACTCCACAGATGCTCTGACCTTCCTTCCACAGAGAGGCAGGCGGCACCACCAGGGAGGAGGGGACCTGCAAAACTAAAATCTAGGGCACTGTTTCCTCCCCAACCTCCTCTTCATAGAGAATAGAGATGTTTGTCTTGTCTGTCTTCAACCTACTTTTCCTTTTTTTTTTTTTTTTTTTTTTGAATGTTTCTCATCTTCTCTGTGCTGCCTCTCCACCCAAGGGGCCATGTAGCAGAGTGAGGAAAGTCCCAGAGGGACCATCCTGGCTCAGCCCCTAACTCACCATGTGACATTAGGCTAGTCCCATCACCCTTTTGGGCCTCAGTTTCCCCACTTGCAAAATGAGAAGGGTAAACCAGATGCTCTCCAAGGTCTTTTTATACTCTGCCATCTTACAGATCCTCATTTTCTCTTATTTTGCTTTTTCTGGATCTTTTCCATCTGAGGGTACAGGAAGTGCCAGGACCTGTTTCAGTTTTTGAATCCTGCAAGCACATTCCAAGACTGACCTGAAATTGCATGAGCAACATCACTCTAAATAATTTTTTTTTCAAAAGCACCTTACCAACCAATTGCGATGCTGTCCTGTTCCTTTTTACTCACACCCCTCTCTCCTCTCTCGTCCCCATGCTCCCCCACCTCAGTGCTCTGTGCTGTATGCGTGTGCTCTCTGTTCTTGTATACTCAATAAAAGTGAAATAAATGTGTTTGATGCTGAACCACACTTCCTTGGTGTCCTCTCTTTCTTCTCTCTCTTTCTTGCTCCTTTACACGTGGGCATTGTGGGAAGAGCAAACAAAAGGATTGGAGACATCCCAACTTAGAATGTGTTTATTCAACAATATTTGGAGCGCCTGGTGTGGTCTAGGCCTTGGGTTAGGCCTTTCTGGTATAACAGCAATTAAGACAAAATCTCTGCCCTCTAGGAACTCACAGGTTAGTGAAAGAGACAACAAAAGAGGCAAATAAATGGTCCAAGACAGTTATAGTGCGATCAGCACTGGGAGGGTCATTGAAGGAGACTGCTCTAAATAAGGTGGCCAGTTAAGGCCAAACTAAGGAGACAATTTTAGAGCTGAATGAAGAGAAAGATCAAGTAAGGTAAAGAATTTGGGTGAGAGAATTCTCAGCAGAGGGGACAGCAAGCATATGGCCCCAAGGCAAGGAGGGGCTTGTTGAGTGGAGGAACATTAGGTGTCCCTCCTCTTCCTGAAAGAGGAGCACTCCATTAGGGTCTCTCTTTCTGTAAACCCCACCCCCAGTGGTGGAAAATGGATACAGCAATGCCTAACTTAAGCCTTTGTTCACAACCTCCATATGTCCCCATGGCCTCATATCACCGGTCCCATTATTGACTTATTTTTTGTTAAATTGACTCACTTTAAAGAAATTTATTTAAAGAGAAAAATTACTTCCACAAATGGAAAATGAGCATCACTTGCCAAAGAAAGGAGGTCTTCATAAAAATGAATGCAAAAATATTAAAATTAAATACGAAAATCATGTAAAATTAAATTTATCCCTTGGACCATCTGAGGTGCACATGCCACACTTTTCTTTTTATTCTACCAAGTGACTCACCTCAGGCCACCTTTCTTTATTGCCCCAAATCACACACTAACAGGTCTTTTTTCCATGTATGTGTGTGTATATATATATATTTTTTTTTCAGAGTTGAAGTACATACCATTCTGAATACAGTACTTTTTAAAACATATACCAAAAATTTCTGTATACCTGTACTTTCAAATACTAAATACTATTTTTAATCAGTAAATGATACAAGACTATGCAGTGAATAGTAGTTCTTAAGCCTTTTCCAAATTCCTGTCCATTGTCAAAGGCAACTGCTGCAAAGAACATTGTGATTCCATCCCTGAATTTTCCCGTTAGATTTCCTTTAGCAATCTGTCACCCCTGGTGTTCTGCAATAGGACTTAATTGACAAACATTGGGTCCCTATACAATTCCTAAGGACCCCATACACCCAGATCTGATTTCTGTCTCCCACAGATACAAGATCAGCCTCTCGACTTCTTCTTTTGAGGTTTTTTTGTTGTTGTTATTGTTGCATTTTGTCCAGGGCCGTGTTTGAACCCACCACCCTCCGTATATGGGACCGGCGCCCTACTCACTGAGCCACAGGCACCGCCCAGCCTCTCTACTTCTTAGGAGTAACATGGTTAGGTTTGTCTAGATCAGTGTTTCTCAACTGGAGTGAGGGTAGGAGATGAGGAGATGATTTTGCTCCCTCTTTCCCCTGAGAACATTTAGCAATGTCCAAAGACATTTTTGGTTGTCACAGTGAGGGGATGCTACTGGCATCTAGTGGGTAGAGGCCAAGGATGCTGCTCTTCATCCTACAGTGTACAGGACAGCCTCCTACAACAAAGAATTATCTGGCCCCAAATATCAATAGAAGAATTCTGATCTAGATGCACATGCAACCCACAAGGTGTGATTCCCAGGCCACCATCCACAGCTTCCATGCCCAGTGTTCAGTGCCCTGGTGTCTCTGAGAAGATGGAATAGGGAACTCTGAGACCAGATCACAGAGCTTAGCATCTAAGACTAGGAGTGGGGAGGGATGAGGAGGCAGCTGAGCTTCTTCATGCAGGAAATGAAACTGACAGGACGGGCTGATTGATAAGCATGACTGTGACTGATGGAGGCCCTCTCTACTTAATCCTGCAGCAGCTCACTATGATTAACCATGACTACAGGGCCCAGTCTAGTCTGCAACCCACTTCTAAGAGATGAATTTTGACTGAGACAGATTGGCAGGTCCAGCTGTCACTACAGAACTGTGACAGATAAGCTAAAGAGCAGCAGCACAGAGACAAGAACAGCCAGTCAGACCTTGGTTTGCATTCTAGCTTTGCCACTTCCTGGCTGTGAAACACCTCTTTGAATTTCGGTTTTCTCTTCTGAAAATTTGGATTACTAATATCTACTTACTAGGGTTAGTGTAAAAATTAAAAATAATATCTAAGTGGCCTGCCCTGTGGATTTTGTCCTTGCCTAGGCAGCCCACACAATCCCATAATCCAATTCCTTGCAGTAATCAATATATATATATGGCTCAGCTTCTTTGGTAGAACCCTGATTAATAAAACTGTAGGCAAAAATTGAGTCCTGATCTTTAGCATAAAACTCACTTCCTGCTTGAGAGACCCAGAGAATCACGAGAACAGCGTGTGAGTTGTGTGTGTGCAAGAGATCAAAAAAAACAGCCTCTAAGAGAGAATGTATAGGTGAGGTGTGGCAATACCAAACCTAATGGTTATGATAAAGATTCTCTAGATTCCAAAGTTCTCTTCAAACTAGAGGCAGAGGTCTTGCTTAAGTTTTGGGATTTTTTTTTTTTTTGAGACAGAGACTCAAGCTATCCCCCTGGATAGAGTGCCATGGCATCACAGCTCACAGCAACCTAGAACTCCTGGGCTCAAGCGAGTCTCCTGCCTCAGCCTCCCAAGTAGCTGGGACTATAGGCGCCTGCCACAGTGCCAGCCATTTTTTTGGTTGCAGCTATCATTGTTGTTTGGCTGGCTCGGGCTGGGGATTCGAACCCGCCACCTTAGGTGTATGTGGCTGGCGCCTAAGCCGATTGAGCCACAGGCACCGAGCCAAGTTTTGGGATTTTGCAAAAACAAGTTGAAGACATTCAGTCTGACACTTTCCATGTTCCCCCTTTTTAGTGATGATGTCTGATAAGTAACTTTTAAATACTTTTTCTTGCTTCATGATGATAAATATGGACCAGGACCAGAGAGGTTAGCTCATGAGGGCGCCTCCCTAAGTTCCTCAGTCCCCTGACCCTGATTTTGTGTCAAGTCTCTTCATTTCTTGTGTCAAAACCCCCTCATCTGGTGACCCCAATCCCCTTCAAGAACCATCTAGCAGGGCAGCGCTGGCCTCATATGCCAGAGGTGGAGGGTTCAAACCCAGCCCTGGCCAAAAACTGCAAAAAAGAAAAAAAAAAAAAAAGAACCATCTAGCACAGGGACAGGCCCACAAATAGAAACCAGTTATTAATACCACATGAATGTCACCATTAATTAAATGTATAAGTACTGAGCTGAGCCTTTGTGCCTGGCTTTGTGCTAGGGTCCAGGGAAAGAGGTGTGTGTTTGTAGTCTGATCGAGATGTCAGACTAGGCCTGCAGGATAATGGATGATTAAGCCGGAGGGACTCTGCTGCTGCTCGGACTGATCCTGGGCTGGTGGCAGGGTTTCTGAGGCTGTTCCCTAGGGATAAGTGTGACTGGAAGCTGGAACTTGTGAACAGGTAGAGATTGGCTGACTGGAACCACGATTGAGCACCTGACTTCATGACTGAGACCAAAGGACTATGGCTGGTGGATGTGTTTCTGGACGGACATATAAAATGCACGGCTTGATGAAAGTTGTTATTCACAATTCAGGAACTAAAGCCAAGAAACTAATAGCAAAACGCAAACATTTGATCGGGCGGAACCTGCAGGCACGGGCCATTTTTCCCGGGACCGAGGCTTCCCCCCGGGCTGCTTTCTTCGTTGCTCCTGTCGGGCGCCCAAACGGAAGAGCTTCCGGTGTGTTGCCGCGGGATCGGAACGTAGGGCGAGACGGTGAGTACGGCCTGTGGGCTTCTTTTTCTTCCTCAGATTTCGTTTTTGTGGCCAACGCATTCCCCTTTGGGCTTGGAATCTCGGAGTGCCTTAAACTAGGCCTACCTCACCGGCGCGTTTCTCGGTCTGTGGGCCGGGAAGGGACGCTGGCATCTCCGGGGCCTTTCTCGCTGAGACACGGTCACCGGGGCTTCCTGGGACACACGGAGTAACTTCACTTTTTTCTTAACTTTAGAGCTGGAAACCTTGGCTGCACTCGACCTATTTCTACTCTGTTCTCTGCTTAACTTCCAGTAAGGTCTTCCTCCTTTGTTTCTCATCTACAAAATGAATACATTTTTATTAAATAAATGTTATTTTAAGCGTCTGGTATGTACTACGACTACAAAAGGACTCGAATCTCATGGAGGTGATGGCCCTCAATCAGACAATGCAAAATTGCAGCCTGATAATTTAAATGGAAACCTCCAAGGCACCCTGAAAGTATTCCAGGAGATTTCAGCTGGTCCCTGGTCAAGAAAGTTTTACTGAGGAAGTGTGTGTGTGTGTGTGGGGGGGGGGGGGAATAAATAAATATATACACACACACACACACACATACATACGTATATAATGTGGGTTTTTTTTTTTTTTTTGAGACTGTTACCCAGGCTGGAGTGCAGTGTTGTGATCATATCATAGCTCACTGCAGCCTTAAATTCCTGGGCTCAAGTGATCTTACTGCCTCAGCCTTCTGAGTAGGTAGGACTACAGGTGCACATCACCAGTCTGGCTAATTTGGTTTTTTGTTGTTGTTATTGCAGAGTTGGGGTCTAACTATGTTGCCCAGGCTGGTCTCAAACTCCTGGGCTCAAGAGATCCTCCCACGTTGGGCTCCAAAAGCATTGAGGAGCTGTCACACATGGCCCTAACAAGTACATTTTATATTACAACAACTGAATATGCAAACATTCAAAGTGTCAGAAAACACTACCTATTCATGATGGTATGAATGGCTAAACTACTTATGTGTTTTGATATTTAAAAATTTTTGTTTGTTTTGTTTTATTTACTTTATTTTAGAGATAGGATCTCTGCAGTGGGGCCATCATGGATTACAGGCATGAGGCATCACACTTAGCCCTATTCTTTTCATTTTAAAAAAGTAATACTGGTAGATACTTTCTGAATTAATTT